TATTCGAAATGTCATAGGAGAGAAAGTTTTTAAATACTTAGACGAGATGCTCGAATGTGACTTCCCCAGGTCATGCCAAGTGGGAAAGGACACACTTCTCCTGCACTCAATGCTGCTTCTCCTCAGTCACTGGGGCGGCAGCAGCTGTGGTGTTGGTGGTGGTTCTTCCAGTGTGTGTCTGAACTTCACGTGAGTGATGAAAAGAATTCTTGCAAAGTGAAAACTTTAAATGAAATGCTTCGGGAGAAGATGGAGAGGAAGAAACAAGAAGAGAAGGCAGAGGTAAAACACAAGAAAATCCTGATGATGGGGATTCCAAGTGGGATTTCCTTGAAGAGGGGAAGCTGAGAGGTCACCCCATGGAGGTAACAATCAGGAATTCACCTTAGAGGAAGGCAGATTCTATGGAAGATAGAAGTAAAGAATGTGACTCCTTGACCATCAAACCACCCCAGCCAATGTCAAATAGGCAAAAATACTCATCACAAGAAAGATGAGAAAAGGAGAGAAAGGTGGCCAGCACAGTCATTCAGCACAAGGAAGCATGCCAGGGTGAAAAAGGAGCAAGAACATAAGGTGTGAAAAGGGCATTGGGAGGAGCAGGAGGAAGAAGGGAACAGAAGGAATGGGAGAGACTTTGAGGAGAGGCACAGAGAACAAAAGGCCAGAAGAGAAGTTTCTGCTTACAACAGAACAGTGTGAGAAGATTATGAAGACAAGCTCAAAGAAAATCATAGGCATGAAAGCCCCTTATGCCAGCAGCCAGGGCTTTCAGAGACCTCCCCCATCTTTCCATGGGCTACACTGTTCCAGGATTTCTTCTGGAGCACTATTTTATGATTGTTTGGAGGTGAATATGGAAGAGCTACAGCAATTTACTGCTTATTCCATCATCTTGGCTCCTGGGAATCAACTAGAAACTTTTTAAAGTATAATTTGAATTTTATTGAATTCAATCAAGTAACTTTGTAAAAAAATCAGTGAATAACAATCTTCCAGTTTAATTATTATATGCAATTCAAGTATTACATACACTAATCATTGTGTAACAATTAAATAGAAAGTTTACTCTTGTCCTTTTCTCTGTAAGCTTTACATACATTTTGCTTTTTCTTCTTCTTTTGCATTCAAATATCATGATGGCTTTGTGTATTTATTTGATATTTTTTATTGATATGTGACTGAGTAAGCACTTCAGTAAAACAATATTTTTATTAAAAACAAAATTTTGAAGAAGAGCAGAAGAGTACTAGAAATTAAGTATCTTGGGTCTTAGAATAGCAGAAAATGCACGTAGAAAGATTGTTTTGTTTTGAATATGATATTTTACTAGAATTTGTGTTATTACTATCTGGTGTTTTTGTTTTAGAGCACATTTATACTTTTTTTCCTTTCCTCAACATTTTTTTTTTCATTGCCTGGTTTATGAACTTTGATAACTTGTGTTCTCTTTTTAGCTTTTGCATTTGTTTGTGACCATATACAAATAACTTTGAGAGCCACAGTTTCCCCACTGTATAAAATGAGAGGATTGAAATAGGATATGAAGGTCCTTTTCAGATCTATTATTCTATGGCTCAGTGGATAGGAAGGAAAAGTGATGGGTCATTTTTTCCATGGCATAAATAGCCTATGTGTTAAGGCTATCTTATGTCAGCATATAAATATGTCTGTGGGTCAATGGAGAATGTGTATGAATGTATCATTTAGTGAATATGTGCAACTGAGTGAAACTGTAAATAAATAGTGGTTATCTCTGGGAAAGCACGTGAGGGAAACTGGATAAAAGAAGAGCAATTTATCTGTGAGTGCAAGAATGTGTTATGACTTTGCATGAACATATCTGTGTGTATGTAGTCAAAAAAGGTGCTTTTGTGCAGTTGTGCTTCTGTGTCTATCAGTCCATATGTGAGAATGTGTGTAGTACGGTACATGATGTTGGGGAGGAGGCTGTATATGTGAGTATATATGTATGAAATGTCACTGAGGATGAGTGTGGATGTGTTTGCATCTGAGTAAACCTTTCTTCTTTTCCTACAGAGCTAGATACAGGCTGTTAGAACCATCGAGGAGTTTTCAGAGCCTACACTGAATGTTTTGAATTGCAGAGAGTGAAAGATCTGGAAAAAAAGGGACGGAAAGGTAAAAGAAAACCTTTAGACTCCCCCCCCTTTTTTTCTCCTTTGCGGAGTTGCAACTACTGAACATATTCCCACCCACCCCCAATTTCTCTAGTCCTTTCCGCCCTTCTCCTTCCCTCAAGCTGCTCCAGGCTGAACATGGTGAGGGCTAGGAGGACACCAGAAAGACCAGAAAGGATTTCTCCCCTTTCTTTCCCCTCATTCCCCCTTAAAAAGATGCCAGGAAGCAGCCACCTTAAGAGGACAGTAATCGCCAGGCTGGCAGTCTAGTCCCACCTCTCCTTCTCCTGTTCCTCATCCTCCTCCAGCTCTGGGAGACAGTAAGAGAGAGAGTCTGGCAGGGGTTGGCACGAGCTGTTGCCATGACAAGCATTTTCTGAAGAAAGATCTGCCGTAAAAACCGTCCAGAACTAGGGGGCCACTAACTTCCCAAGACTAACCCTCTGGAAAGAGTAAGGGCCAACGAAACCCACCTCAGCCTCTCTTCCACCCGTTTTCTTCCAGGGCTCCGAAGGACCTTCTCTTTTGGAGGGTCAGAGTAGAGGACCTAGCGTACTCTCACATCCAAACTGGGAAGGCGAGCAAAAAACAAACAAACAAACAAAAACAAACAAACAAACAAACAGAAAACCAAGCATCTTTAGCAATTATTACTATATTAGTAGGACCCGTGGGTAGTCCTCCCCATCCCAACCCTACCCTTCCACTGTATGGAAACCCGCAGGGAGATTCCCGCTTGCAGAAGTCTGTATTATTGCTAGGAGGAGAGGTAGGTTTGTGGAGAATGAATTGACTTGGGGTTTTCAAACTTTGTTACCTTCTTACCTCTTCCCCCGGGACTCTCCCTTCTTATGCTTTGGATGGTTTAGGGTTTTTTCGAGATTATTTTGTTTGGGGTTTGGTGGTGGTGGTGGTGGTGGGAGGGGGAGGTAGCCGTTTGATTTGGGGGTGCAAAGATTTGTCCAATCTTCTTTTCCCAAGCTCAGTTCGTAGGCACCAAATGATTGGTTTGTTTTTCTTCTTATTCCGTTTTAGTTATGGTCAGGGCTAAGGAAGAGGAGGAGGGGGAGATTGAGGGGCTGGGGTAAATGTCTCTGTTCTTGCAGTCTGGAGCTGGTGGGGGCGGATGGGGGGGAGTGGGGAGAGTAAAGCAATTTGGAAAATGGATACATTTGTTCCCCCCACCCCCACCTCTCGCCTTTGGCTCGGCAATGAGACGCAGAATGAAAAACTGTTGCAAAAATAGTTTCCGCGTCTATTCCGTTTCTTGAAATCCCCAAAGAGAGAGATGGAAAAAAATAACCCGGTGACAACTCTTCAGCAGGGAGGAGGAGCCACAGTGGGGACGCAGGAGGTGCGGAAGGCAGTGGAGTGAGGAAGGCAGCTGGGGGAGTTACGGGGTCGGAGGGAGTGTAGCAAATTGAATTTCTTTGGCTTTGCCTAGAAACCTCAGCAGTTCTCTTCTTACAAAACAGTGTCAGAGCCCTTCAGATATTCAAATCTATAATTAGCTGTGGAAAAAGCAGGGAGTTCCCTTGTACCTTTGTGTGTGCTTGTGTGTGTGAGCTTGCGTGGGTGAGTGTGTGAGACTGTATTGTTGAAAACCAACTGTAGGAGTGTATTCGAGGGGTGCAGCCCCACAGTTTTGCTCCCGAATGGAAATGTGGAATGTATGCATATTCTGTTTAAGTTGGAAAGTTTGCGATTTTTCAGGGATAGATACCAAGGTTGACAGGGAGTGAAGCTGGTGACTACTTGTCCATTCAGTTTTAGGTACCAGCATCCTTGTGGAGGGCCCCTGAAGTGAGAGGAACAGTCTCCGGTGCTGCAGTGTTTTCGAAGTCAGACTTGCCCAGGAGCTCAAATTTAAGAATTTTACACGCCCCGCACCCCCACCTCCGACCTCGTTTCTCCCTGTGGAGAAAATCTTTTTGGTAGCTTTCTGGTTCGTCTGTAGAATTCCCGAAGGTCTTCCAGAGGCTCTGATAGAAGTGAATAGTGCGGGCTGTGGTGCTGACCACCGCAACGTCTTAAGAGTGAAAAGTGTACTGGGCAAGGTTGACGTATCTGCCTCCGGTACATAAAGGCAAGACCTACACCAACTTGCGGGCATGGTGCTGGCGGAGAGAGGAGGGGGCAGGTACCAGATGGTAGGATAGGCAGGCTTCTAGATAAACTCAGGCAGGGAGTCTAAGGAGGTGGGAAGCACAAATCCCATTAAAATCCCATTCAGTTACACATCGTCTGGTGTGTAGAAGAGGGACGAAACACTGATCCTCAACCCCTCCCTAATATCCTTCTCCTGCACTGCTTCTATGCCAAATCCAGATCCACTGCCTTTCCCCCTCGCACCACACACACCAGATCATCCCCTGTGTGGAAGGGGAGAATAGTGGGTTGTCTAAGCTGGGCTGAGGAGTCTGGTGTGGGGAGGGGCATTTGGACCTGGAATTTTGGTTAGGAAGGGCATTGAGCACTGACATTGAGGGTGTCAGGAGGGAATCTGTGGTGGGAATAGCGTGGGAGACTGTGCTGCCCACCTTGCAGAGGAGAGATAATACATGGGAGCTAGTTGTGAGGTGTGAGATGCTACGGCTGTGGGAAAGGAGGTTTGGACGGTGAGAGGGGAAGGCATTAGGCACAGACTGAATAATGATGTCATAGCAGGAGAGTCAGAGGTGTGTGTGTGTGTGTGAAGGGAGAGTGCATTAAAGAGAGATGAACTACGGATTAAGGTGCAGGTGAGTATGGGCAGAGGTGATCAGGTGCCTCTACTGATGAGGTTTCTGCTGCAAGCGGAGGAAGGAGACTGAAAAAGTTGCCCCTCCTACTTTTGGTGAAGCTCGGTTTATGTCCTATCTGGGTGTGAGGTAGCTGAGGACCCGAAATTACAATATCATTGAGGAGAGTCCTTAGGATGGATAAAGGGGACTGGAATGTGTATAGGAAGGAACATGAGGATCTTATTCACTGGAAGGGCAGAGGGAGGAAAAGAACCTTCATGTTATGTTATATAAAATGAAAAAGGGGTACTGCATTGGGAGATGGAAGGTCTTCTGGGTTTGAATACTACCTTTGCTACTCTGTGACCTTAGGTAAATTAATGATTCCCTTCTCTGGCCTCAATTTCCTCAACAGCAAAATTAGGAGGTTGGACTAGATGATGCTAAATAAAGGTCCTTTCTGCCTCAGTGATGCTTTATTTCAAGACAAGAAGGGTCATTTGGTTGTTCGATAACCCCTGAATTTGATCTCTGTAGGAAGGAGCACAGGGGTTATGGGAGAGTGTGAAGGAAGGCTTTGCACAGTGCTAGGCACATTGTATTATTCAGTATTTCAGTCACATCTGATTCTTTGTGACCCCATTTGGGGTTTTCTTGGCAAAGATATTATAACAGTTTGCAATTTCCTTCTCCAGCTCTTTTGTAGGTGAGGAAACTGAGGCAAACAGGGACTTATCCTTGGTCACATTCAGTTAGTAAGTATTTGAGGCTGGATTCGAACTCTATCCATTGTGCCACTGAGCTGCCCCTTCTTGGCACATAGTAAGTGCTTAATAAATGCTCTCTGTCTGTCTCTGTCTGTCTGTCTGTCTCTCTCTCTTTCTGTCTGTCTCTGTCTACAGAAAAAAGCATCTTCCTTCTGAGGACAACTGGGGAAACACTGTGTTGTTTTTTACCTCATCAGTATTGCCCAGTGGCCCCAGCTGAAGTGTCAGGGCCAACCCACTCCTATATCCCTCAGGAGCTTTGTCATCAGCTGAAAGAACTGAGGGGTCACAGCTAATCCTGGGAGGAAAGTCAGCCTTTCATGTGAATAATTTGAGAGGCACCATGCAGGAGCTTTAAAAAATAAAAAAGAAATAAATAAAAGAAAAAGAAAAGAAAGAAAATAAGAAGAAAGAAAAAGAAAAGAAAAAACCTCTTTCTCTTACTGTTACAGATGCCTGAAATTTCATCTTTAGAGCCTTGGAGGAATTGTGACATCTCACTGGGAGCAAGACCCTCCCAGAACAGGAAAAAGTATCTGAGGGAAGAGGCAGAGATATAGGAGGGTAGACCTACAAGTCCCTGATCTTGGATTCCATTCCTTGTCCTTGGCTTCAGGAGAAGAGAAAAAACAAAATTCCTTCTAGAGAGGTTTGAGGGGCAGGGGATAAATTCTTGGATAAGAGGCATATCTTGAAGAATTTTTTAGTTCCCTGACAAGTGGCTGCCTGGTTGGAGCTGAGCTGGGCTGAGCCACACTGAAAGGGTAGAGGAATGCCTAGGGATAGTTCAAGTAAGAGTGATGAGAGGTACAGACAGTACCTTCATAATTAGTGTCGTGGAATGATCATAGACATCTCCACTGTGTTCTGTGAAATAGGTTTGGGGCAGGATAAAGATGACCAGAAATCTTGCAAGTGCCCATTCACTTCAGTCCACATTCCCCTTACTCTGGGTCCTAAACTGGGAAAGTTGGGAGATAGCAGCCAAGCTGACTGGCCTGTCTAGCATAGTAGCTTGCTCTTCTCTTCTCCTACTGTGCCTTTAATCTAAGTGCTGGCAAAGGAGGTGCTAATAGCTGGGGAGTGGAGGTAAGAGGATAGATGCTCTGGCTACCTTCCCTTCCTCTATGCCATGAGCCTGGCTGGTTTTCTAAGTTTTTGGCAACTTGGACTTGATGAGCTTCATATATTTCCTTTGCTATTTCCTATCTCTAACCCTGGTGTCAAGGTTAAATTGCAGGGTTCAAGGTTCTGAACCCCTATTTAATGGAAATGTACTTTGGTACAAGTCAGAGTTGGAAAGCAGAGTTTAGTCATTTTTCAACCTTGTCCAACTTTGGTGACTCTATTTGGAGTTTTCTTAGCAAAAATGCTGGAGTGGTTTGCCATTTACTTCTCCAGATTACTTTACAGATGAGGAACCTCAGGCAAACAGGATTAGGGGACTTGCCCATGGTCACACAGTTAGTATGTGTCTGAGGCTGGATTTGAATTCAGGAAAGTGAATCTTCCTGACTCCAGGCCCAGAATTCTGTGCCACCTAGTACTTGAATCAAATCCTTATTCTGCTTCTTACTACCTGTGTAAACTTAAGCAAGTGACTCAAATTTTCTGGGCCTAAATTTCATCATCTGTAAAATGAAGGACATTGGATTGGATTACCTCTAAGACCCCTTCCAGCTCAACTATAGGATTATATTATCCAGAGATAAATTTAGTGGGTAACATAAAAGTAACCCCTTACTTTCCAGATGAAGACCTTAATTCGAGAATGCTTCTGGGCTTCATCTTTCATCTTCTGCAAAATAAGGAGAGCCAATGCCTGCCCTTCGTAGCAACAATGGGAAGGACTGGCTGAGTCAGATAGCAGTAATCTTTGATCTTAGGAGAAAATCAGAACAAAATCTGATGGGAGCAGAGTATTAAAAAACTAGATTTTATTTGCCAAGGTGTAGTTTGAAAAAGTAAGGCACTAGGCTAGGATCATACTAAATGTAGTGGTTGTGGGGAGTGAGGCAATGAGGTGACTAGAATTAGAATTATCTAGCAAGAAAGGCTTTCAGAGATCATCTAGCCTATCACTAGCCTCTGTTTTCCAGACGAGGACACAAAAATCCAGACAGGGGAATCCATATGCAAAAAGTCAAGCATGGAGTTAATAGCAGAACTGATATTAGAATTCAGGTCTCTTTTTTATCTTTGTTTTTTTATTATTTATTTTTAATTAACAATTTAAGTAACAATAATTAACAATAATTATCAACAATCACTTCCATAAGCTTTTGAGTTTAAAATTTTTTTCCCTCTCTTCCCACCTCCCTGCCCAAGACAGCACACAATCTCATATAAGCTATACATATACATTCCTATTAAACAGATTTTCACATTAGTGATGTTGTAAGTAAGAGTTAGCACCAGTAGGAGAAACCACCAGAAAGAGGAAACAAAACACAACAGAAGAAAAAAAATAGCAAATATTATACTTCAATCTGCATTCAAACTCCATAGTTCTTTCTTTGGATGTGGATAGTATTTTCCATCATGAGGCCTTTGGAGATGTCTTAGATTCTTGTACTGCTGAGAAGGGTTAAGTCTATCAATATTAGTCATCGCACAACGTGGCTGTTACTGTGTACAACATTCTTTTGGTTTTGCTCACTTCACTTTGCATCAAACCATACAAGTCTTTCCAGGTTTTTCTGAAGTCAGCCTGTTCATCATTTCTTATAGCACAATAGTATTCCATTACATTCATATACCATAACTTGTTTGGTCATCCCCCAATTGATGGGCATCCTCTCAACTTCCAATTCTTTGCCACCACAAAAAGAAATGCTATAAACATTTTTGTACATGTGGGTCCTTTTCACATTTGTATGATCAATAGTGATTTAGAGCATTTTTTCATATGACTACAGATGGCTTTAAAGAATTCGGGTCTCTTAACCCTTAGTCCATTACTCTTTCCATTAAACCACATTATCTCTCTGAGATTCCTGAGAAAAAGAAGTTGAATTTCCTCCCTTCCTCCCTCTGGCCCCCAATTGTCTAGGGATGGGAGGAAGGGGAGGATGTCTTTGTCCAGTTGCTCAACTTGGCTCAGGTGAGCTCAGCTCTCACCAGGCAGCCATCTATCAGGGAACTTCAAGGATTCCACAGGATATGCCTTTTATCCCAGATTTGATATTTTGCCCCTACATTCCTCTGGTAGACTCTTCACTTCTCTCCCGAGTCCCTAGCTTACCCTATAATTCCTACGGGCAGGTCAAGTCAACCCACTTAGTTCAGTGTTATTCAGATCCAGGCCAGCTTTTTAGAAGACCAAGGTCATTCACTCCCCTCTGCCTGTGGGACTCGATCTATGGCCTGAATCTCCTGTGCAGAATCAACCAGGCAGCATGAACTACTCCCCCTTCCATGTTGCTCCTTAATTCCCCTACACTCAAGCCAGACTGTTCTTCCATACTCCTTTAAGGTCCAAGACTTTCAGCAGGGCTCTGCCAGCTT